TATGCAAATAGACTGAACGGCAGAACGACCAGTCGCTATGATGTGCATTTACCACCAGGGGCAAATGCTCAAAGCAGGAGCTGCCCCCTGGTGGTCAGTGTGCTCCCACAGAGGGAGCGCTACTCACCCAGAAGCCTGTCTCACAGGGAGTGGGCCTAAGCTGGCAGGCAGACATCCCCTGAGGGGTCCCAGATGGCAAGAGGGCACAGGCCAGGCTGAGGGACCCTCCCCCCTCAACCGAATGTTGTGCACCAGGCCTCTAGTGATATATAATATGCAAAGGGTTTACATGAACCCTAATCCCATAATTCTGAGTAGCTGTGAAATGGTCACTGATACATTTTAGGGTATGAAAATAAAGTTAATTTACAATATCTGTTCTATACTACCACTGTCTTTGCAGACATACTCTTTCCTTCTTTAACTTTAATATGTACTGCCAAAGGAAAGTGCAGATAAATTATGGGTTTTCTTCATTTTCATTAAGAGAACTAAGAGTAGGGTGGGGGATTGACTGTGACTTCTATGGGAAGCTGAATTTAGGATTTGGAAAATGTTGCACCTCTAGGTCTGAGATTATTGAGAGGGGAGAGCAATTACTGAGAAGTTATAAAAAGCAGATTTTAAAAAAACCTGATTATTTCAGCATATGTTAATTTTATATGAAAGTTTAAGCTTCTAAAAGATTTTGTTGTGTTAGTTTTGCTTCTATTGTTTTTATCTAAACTGTTTAGATAAATTCTTAATATTTCTCAAAAGACTAGCAAATTGGTGCACTTTTGGTTGAAGAACTTGAAAAGATTGTCTAATAGATAAATAAGAACTAAAAAGAAATCTTAGAAAGTATCCATTTCAACCCCTCTCATTTTACTCAGTGAGAATCAGGAAAGTTAAACAACTTTCTCCAATTAATTCATCGATTTAGTGGCAAAGCTAGAACCAGACCCTGACACTCAATCCAATGTTCTTTCTACTACACAATTCTGTCTGAAAAAATCCCCATGCTCTGGCATTGGATCTAGTGGGGCTTAAACTCTCTTCTTTCATTAAGTATATAATGGGAATTTGGTAAAATGTAAGAAACATGCAGAGAAATCTGTAAACACTCAGAACTCATCTCAGAAATAGAGTCAACTGAGAAGATGTTCATGTCTTTCCAATTAGAACCCTTGGAGCGGAAACCCAACAGCTGTGTAAAATTTTATTTTGTAGCATTTTGGAACTAACTCTCTGAAACAGTAAAATATACTCTCTTCTCCTTGAAAAAGCTTTCTTCTGTGTCTTTTGGCACAGATTACTTCTCTTTTTCTCCCTGTTTTAATTCACTTTTTTGTTAATTTTCATCCTCTTTATTACTTCCCTTTATGTCCTCACTTGATTAAAAAAATTTCATGGGACATATAATCTAAATTCTTGTTTAGAAGATTTAATGTCTTATGTTTTTTGGTAGATACAATTCTGAAAAATAGATCCTCAGCCAAACAGAAAAAAAAAAAGGAAAAGCATCCATAGATCTCTTCTTCAGTTTTTCTCTTCAGAATTCTTTCTCCTCTTTACTTGGAACTCTTCCTCTTAGTCAGACTTCCATTTGATCACTATTAGAATCTCTAATTGCTCACTGTACTGATCTATTTAGTACTCATTTTTTGGAGGTACTTGTTTCATTTGATTTTGATAGTCTCCTAACATGGGAACTTCGGAGTAGAAATTGAGAACGAGAAAATTTGGGAGGATAAGGAAGAGTTTGTTCCTAATAAAATTGCAAGAGAGAAAGATTAATCAAGGGCCCTCAGAGTTTTGACTTCCACATGATAGGGTCACAATATTGAAGAAAAAATATCTCTATATATAAAAAGGTAGCTACCGTAACAGCCATAACGACCTAACAATCAGTTGCTATAATGCCCACTGTGGCCAGCCAACCTCCTGATCAGGGGGTGGGGCCAGTGGCCAACCTCTCGGCCCCTCCCCGCTGCTGACCTGCCCCTGATCAGACTCTCCCACCTCAATCAAGAGCAGGGCCTGCCGGCCAAATGCCCCCTCTCTTCCCCCCGGCTAGCCATGCCCCAGATCAGCCCTCCCCACCACAATAGGCCCTCAGCCCCTCGCCCTGGCCGGCCATGCCCCTGATGGGCCCCCACCACCCTGATCACCCGCAGCCCTTCCCCCTGGCCAGCCCTGCCCCTGATCACCACCCCACCTCAATAGGGGGCAGGGCTGGCCGGCCAACCTCCTGCAGCCCCTCCCTGGCCAGCCACGCCCCCAATAGGCCCCCACCATACTGGATCGGGCCTGCAGCCCCTCCGCAGGCAGACCCCACCACAAGATTGGCCCCCCAACCCTGATCAGGAACCAGAACACCCGGGCGAGTGCCCCATGTAACCAACCCAAAGGACAACAGGGACCCTGAGATGAAACCCCCTCAT